TTAATTGTTATATATATACGTACATGATATAGGCCCAGATCTTCGAGAAAATGCGGAAGGTATTCAACAAGGTCTTGTCCGGTGTATGAAAAGGACAAAGACATACAAAAAAAGTAATAAAAGTCAAGATCTTTATATGCATACCGTTTTGAATACTGTATAGGGGTTTAATTTCACGGGTTGTAATTTTCACGTTTTTCTCTCCTCTGACACGATCGCGGTTTGTTGAATTCGCGGAATTGGTATATAATAAAAGTTACCTCCCTTGTCTATATCCGTTTAATCCATAGCATAGCTAGAACGACATTAATCAGCGTTATGTATTCACTTCACGAAAAACAGGGTAGGTTTATATAAGATAGTTAGATTTAATAATTAATTGACGATTAATTAAAACAAGTGCAGTTATTAAAAGTCGTTGACTATAAACGTCGAATGACTTTCCTATGTGCTATTACATGTACACCCTATTCTTTCCGAAGGGATAATACATCGCGGCGAAAAACCACTGGACGGTAAGAAATGTGTTAATGTAGGTCGACGAAATAATATCCTTCCCTTCCACATCCTCAGCAAGTTCGATAGTTATTTGAATGATTTTTTAAAATTTAAATGTCGATAAAAACTAATACGCATAATAATGCAGGTAACAAATACACGTGGTAACATAGTTACGAACGGGTTATCAAAACCCACGACCCACGTGTTTTAATTGATGAAACATGTAGCGTTGGCTATTAAAAGATCTTTTTAACAAATACAGGTTATTATCTGCTGATTTGAATTAAAGTAAAGCGTGATAATTAAAAGAACTGAATGACAAGTTCTGATCGTAATTACTGAAATGACCATGTACTACACGTATATATACCTATCGTAGTTTATTCTCAAATTTCCAAATATAACACGGAGGTTATTGAAAACTTATTCACTGTTTCTTGAATTCACGGATTTATTAACACCGTGAATATAGCGAATATTAACACCGCGAGTTATTTTCCCCCTATACAGTAGGTAAAATAAAGCCTAGCATAGTCCGTAGATGTTACATGTTCAAATTCGCGAGATAAACAAACTCTACAAATACCAAAGAGTTACCTCCCGTGCCGGGTCGCTAATGCGTTTGAAAACTATATTTAGAATGAATGTTTCAAGACTTCGATTTTAAACTAAAAAGTTCAAGGGCAAGGCGACATATGAAGAGGTGGGTTTTTGTATTAAATTGTTTATATTACTGCATACTTTTTGAAAAGTGATGCTCATTTCTCTGTAATTCGCTAAGTAATTTATTATTTCACATGAAATGTGGAAAGAACCCTATTTTTTCAATACCGGTCTTTGTTTTTACTGAATAACTAAATAATACCAGAAATCTAACTGAATGAGCATTATTTTTGAGATAGGATAGATATTTGGGGACACATTGAAACCTTGTGCAGTGTGATTTTTCTTTGCCTTGCCCTTGAACTTTTCGGTTGAATTTGATATGTTATATCTTGAGCTAAAATAGGAGCCCATGTGACTACTAAAGGTCACATGATGACAAAAAATATCAATATTAAAAGCGAAGGACACACTCTTCAAGAAGACACAAAGATATTTTTAGTAGAGTCTTATGCTAAAAAATAAGACAGTTAAACTTCAAGTGTCTTGTTTTCAGTGTCTTTTTATAGAAAATGTTGCCTTAACTGTACTGCGATATATTTTTGTGTTACTAGTTTATTCCCTATTTGGATTAGTTGATACACAGAGAAACAAAATAAAAGTTCTCCAGAAAATTGGGATAGTCAGGGAGTCGTCAAATCTGTGTCTTTGATATAAAGTATAATATCTTTTAAATCAGGGATGGGGTCAATTACTTTAAAATGTAATTAATTAAATTACAATTACTTTGACTTTTTCTTCCATTGAATTACAAGTAAATTACAAGCTTATTAAGACATGTAATTAATTATATTGCAATTACTTTGCAAAAGTAATTAATTAAATTACACATTACTTTATTTTTTTTCAAATTTTTATAATCCTTGCGAATGAAAATATATACAAAACATCATTGTACATGTACAAAACATCATTGTACATGTATGTAAAGCTCTTGCAATCTCTACACAAACAATAAAATAATTAAATATTATTTTAGATATTGTGTATCTTTGTGGTTTATAACTTTCATTTACAAAACACTTTCATTTACAAAATATTTAGTCGCCACGTGACGCAGTGATTAGAGCTTCTGCTCTAGGGTGGCGGAGTAAGGAGTTGATCCTTATATCACGGGTTCGAATCCCAGTGTGTGACGTGGAGACCGGTCCGTCCTTCGGATAAGACCGTATAAACCGAGGTCCCATATCACAGTAGATGCTGGAACGAAAAAGATCCCTCACTTCTCAATGGCCGTAAGTGCTGAGTATAAGACAAAATTTGAAGCCCTTCACCAACTAGTGGTGGCGTCTCCATATGAGTGAAAAATTCGCGAGAGGGACGTTAAATAGCATACAAACAAACAAACAAAACAAAATATTTAAGAATTATCCATGATCAGTTTGACGCAGTTTTCTCCACACAAAACCTACATGTTCACAAAGTACATGACTTATAGAATTTAATTAAAAATGAAGATTTAGCGTAAATGAGATACAACTGAGACCGCTCAAATTATATTCAATTGTCGGTAACCTGAACATCCTCAATTGCTATTAATGTTGAGCTTTTTTTAAATCCTATATAAATTTTTTCAGATACAAAATTCATTCATAAAATATTTGTTTAGATGTTAATATAATTAATGAATTGAAAGTTGTTTCTTTTCTAAAGCTAATGGAGCATTTTTAATTAAAATAATCACCCCAATTGTGCTCATTCTCCAAATCATGGAGTAGAAATGTGCGAAAGCAAACCCCTTCACTAATATCGTCAGCCCGTGCTCAGTGTTGTGTACAGAGTTTAACAAATTGAATACACCCGTGAAACGTAAACTGTTTTGTAAACAGGGCACGAGCTCTGTTATTGTTAACGTTTACGATTCACTGTGTTCAATTGTTAAAGTCTGCACACACCACTGAGCACGGACTGACAATACTGTGAGTGGGTTTTGCTTTCGAACATTTCTACTCTGAATTTTCTGGATTATAGTTTTAATTTTTTTCATTAATACACAACAAAATTGCCACTTTTCGTAAGAATTAAGAATAAAATTAAAATTTGTGAAAGTGCAAGGATGTGTCACTCAAACGCGTTCAGAAATTTTAAGTTTCAATAACTTGAGATGAAATAAGATATTTATTATATTTTAGTATGAAATGCTATAGCAACATATAAGTCATGAAATTTTACAGAAAATTTGAGAAAATATTAACTTCAAATCTGTGTCCAAGCACCTTTAAGGAAGAATACGTCACTTAGACTGTGGTTTTCATGTATATATTTGATGACACAAAAGATTGGCCTTGTCCCAGAAACTTGCATCAGTACCCTGGTTTTCCTCACAGTAACATCAACATCAACGTGGGCGCCATATGTCACAGGGTTGTCGTTAAGGAAAATAACGCTGGATTAGGTTCAAGTTTTTAATGAGGATAACAAAAGAAACCTAGAAAACACACTCACAACACACACACATTAACAGGAGACAAATAAGGCACATTAAACAAAGTTGCAAATTACACAACATGAAAATCCACGCCGCTGCCAATAAAGATATTTTACGTATTATCGAAATTCATTTAAAAGTATTTACGTCATTAGAAATAAATCTTACCAAACATCCAGTATTATTAAATATAATAAGTTTAGTCAAGGACTCAAGACATCAATCATGAAACTCGATGACTACAACATTACAGAAAGGGTTGGACCTCGTACACCGTAAAGGTAGAAGCTGATAGATATTTGATTTGGTAGGATAAGCGCTTAGGTATAGTGCACGAAGTTAGTATACATGTATATTAATTATTAAATAGGAGTCTGTGTATACCTGGTCAGTTTGTAAGCTAAAAATAGAAACATCACGTGACAAAACAAACATTAACACATGGCACCAATTCACACAAACAGCGCTATATTTGATTAGCATTGCGCGCTAATCAAATATACATTGTAGATTATAAACAAAATATTTATTTATAATTGAATATCAACTGTGAAGTAAAGATAGATATCAAAAATATAAATGACTGTGGCGGATCTACGGGAGTGGGGTGGGTTCAAATGAGACTTGATGCTTTCCCAACAGCCACGTACCTCAAATCACTTGACACTAATTTAGTGTTTCGGCGGTGCAATATGAAAATTCGCCATCATCAGGAGCCTATTTACACATCTGTTGTACAGATTATAGGAGAGCATATCACTCAGATTTTTATTGCGTTTAGTGACACAACAGGTAAATCGTAGAAGACTGTATTGCAATCTTTTTAATAATTTTTTTTTTTTAGAATTTGCCGGTATTTAGATAATTTTCGTTCTATTTTTTTCGGAGTCCATGATTGTATTTCGTTGCAAAAGAGCTGCAGAACTGTAGCGTTATGGTTTTATATTTTAGTCTTTGACCATAACGCTGCAGATCCCGTGTTGTAAATAAAGTGCAATTTACACACCCTATTACCGGCAACTGGGACTGCCGATGCAACTGGGACGACAGATGGCAAAGTTGTTTTTCGCTATGACAGAGACCTGATTTTTATCGTATTTTTGAGTATATATAACATTCATTTACTAACGTATAGTGGTTTTCCGTCTTGACCAAAACATAAACTATTTTCCTGTTGAATATAAAACTATGATTTCTTATTAAAACAAAATAAGAACAGAATAAAGTCAAATTTCAATCGTCGTTCAAAAAAATTTGGTCAAACTGAGCTTAAAATAATTAAAACTGCTACTCCACGGTCACATTTCTTGTTGTATATAATAAATATAGGATCTTAACGACATAACTTCAAAATATGGATAGTTTGTGTTGTTTAAAAAGTGTGCTACGAGCGCTTGATTTTGGTGGGTCAAGATCTTTTGGCTGTCTTGAACAGCAGATGGATGTTAACATGGCAAACACTGACGACAGATGATTGACTGAGTGTAAACATATCTGCTACATCAGTTAAGTCTTCGGCCTCAAGTCCTTCCTTTTCCTGAGAAATTCTTGACAATCCATCCGGATTCGTGTGGCGTTTTGTATTGCGATATTCAATGTTGTACGTATATCCACTTAAAAATATTGCATGTCTTTGCATTCGTTCAGCGGAGGTAACTGAAATTCCTTTCTTAGGATTGAAAATTGACACTAACGGCTGATGATCGGTTATCAATGTAAACTCGCGACCATACAGATAAGTGTGGAATTTCTTTACACCAAACACAATTTTAAGAGCTTCCTTGTCAATTTGACTGTAATTCCTCTCAGCCTTATTCAAAGTTCTTGAAGCGATCGCGGTCAGGTGTTCCGTCCCATGCTTCAACACGTGCGACAACACTGCCCCTAATCCAAAAGGTGACGCATCACACGCTAACCTGATTGGTAAGTTTGGATCATAGTGACATAATACTTGATCAGAAGTTACCAACCTTTTTGCTTCCTCGAACGCTTCCTGACATTCTTTGGTCCACTGCCATTTGACTTCCTTTTCCAAGAGTTTGTGTAACGGGTGTGGAACAGATGATAAATTTGGAAGAAATTTGTGATAGTAATTCACAAGACCTAGAAATGCACGAAGTTGGGTGGTATTGGTTGGCTCTGGAGTGTCCAACACAGCTTAATTTTTATCCTTGGTTTTGTGTAATCCTTGTTTGTCAATTAAATGACCACGGTATTCAATTTGGTCTTGGAAAACTGACACTTGGATTTATTCGCTCTCAAGTTATATTCCTCCAGTCTTTGTAGAACATGGCGTAAATTTTCAAAATGTTCTGCATCATTCCTACCCGTAATTACCATGTCATCCAAAATGCACTGTACTCCATTTAATCCTTGCAATATTGTGTCAATAGTGCGTTGCCATATAGCAAGTGCTGACGCCACCCCGAATAGGAGTCGGTTGTAACGGTACAATCCTCGATGTGTGTTGATTGTAAGAAATTTCTTTGATTCCTCTTCTACTTCAAGTTGCAAATATGCGTTCTTCAGATCGATCTTTGAGAATTTTTGTCCACCTGCCAATGAAGCGAATATGTCCTCAATGCGAGGCAATGGGTATTGCTTTATTTCAAGTTGCGGATTTATCGTAACTTTGAAATCCCCACAAATTCGGATATCACCTGATCTCTTTACTATCGGTACAATTGGTGTGGCCCATTCACTTGTCGGAACTTTGGTTATGATGTTCTCACTTTCAAGTCGTTCCAACTCTTTTTCATATTTGGGTTTCAGAGCGTAAGCAAGCGATCTTGCTTTCACAAATACTGGTTTAGCGCTTTCCTTCATGATGAGGTTCGCTTTGATTCCATTGACGGATCCAGTTTCGATTGTAAACACGGCACTGTGTTTATCAAGAATTTTCTCCAATTTCTGTGATAACTCATTGATATCCAGTGTGACTTGTTCAGGGAATTCCAATCCAATTTGATTTTTCGTAGCCATTCACGCCCAAAAAGTATCGCTTTTCCCTCTGAAACAACATACAGTTCTAACTTTTCCTGTTGATCTCTGTATAAGAAATCTACACGAACTACACCAAGAGGTCTGAGTTTTTCTCCTGAGTAAGTCATTAAAGTGACGCTTGTATCCTCGAGTTTTCTCCTGGGAAACAATTCTGTAAAAACTTTTTCCGGAATAACGGAGACTGCGGAACCCGTTTCTAGTTCCATGTTGACAATTTTCCCGTCAATAAACACATCCACCATTATCTCATTTCGCTTACCGGTATGTACAGTGTACAATCCTAAATCACTGTCTTTATCTACTGCATGCACTTTCTTCGGAAATTTGAATGACTGGTCCTTTGCACGACATGCCGCTTTAATATGTCCTTTCTTTTTACATTTGTGACATGTTGCATCTTTGAATCTGAATTCTTCTGCTCTGTGGCCACTTTTGTTACATCGGTAACAATTCACAGGTTTCGGTTTTTCCAACTTTGCTTTCGATTTCTGGAATTTTAATTTGTTGACTCCAGACTCGCGACTTTTTCCCTGCAGTTCCAAGGCGTCTTTTGATGCGATTTCCATAGCGACCGCTATTTGAATTGCTTTATCCAGGGTGAGCCCCTGCACGGACAGTAATTTCTTCTGGGTTTGTTCATCTCGTAGTCCACAAACAAATCGGTCTCTAAGAGTGTCATTTAGATCCTGAAAGTCATAATACTCAGAAAGTTTCCTGATTTGTGCAACATATTCATTGGCACTTACGCCCTCTTTTTGCTCTCTTTTATGGAAACGAAATCTTTCCGCAATTACTAAGGGTTTTGGCGATAGGTGATCTTTAAGAACCTTAACAATATCGTTAAAACTCTTGTCCTTTGGTTTATCTGGTTTTGCAAGATTCCTTAGTAAAGCGTAAGTCTTTCCCCCAATCAAACTTAGGAGCGCAGGGACACGTTTGCCGCCCGTAATTCCATTAACTTCGAAGTACTGTTCTAAACGTTCCGTGTACGCTGTCCACGTATCAATTGTGTCATCAAACGCCTCAATTTTCCCTATATATATCCAGCCATTGTTTTAAATCCTCGTCGCCAATTTTGTGTTATTTTTATTTAACACTAGAAATGAGTACTAGAAGACATCTTTACAGATTAGCATTTTATTCTAGACTAAAGCATACAAACATATTTACAGAGTATTAAGTCTGGCAATGCAATATGATGTTCCTGGGACTGGATGCTGATGTCCGAACACATAGTAAAGTTAACATAAACAGTTCACTGGATTGTTTGTACGGCTATATAGTGTTGTTTATTAATACACTGAATATGAGAACACAACATACCCTACCCCAGAGGTTATGAACTGAACAAATTTAAACTATACTACATAAGGATGCTTCCGTATATACTAGTAAATGTGACTAATCGAGGATTTGTTGTTCGTGAGTAGAAGATTTTAAAAGAAATTTTTCTATATTTATATTCCTATGTAAAATTCTAATCACCGATTATGGCCCCGCCCCGCCCTAGCCTCGGGGGTCGTGGTTTGAAAAAAAATTAATCTACACTATGCAATAAAGCTTTCAGATAACTTTTCCTCTTTTCTCGCCCAGTCGTTCTTGAGAAGATTTTTAAAACATGCGCCATTAAAATTTCAACTAATTTTTAATTATCTCCCATGAAAGAGGGTATGATCCTTCATTTGAAGGAGTTTGGCTGAAATTGACCCACTGTTTCTTGAAAAAGAAGTCGAAAATGTAAAATAATAATAAAAAAAATACAGACGACAGATATACACGACAGACGGATGCTCAGATGAGCTTAAACAAAAACTGTTATTATATGATTGAATAATTCCCATCTCTCTGATTGTCTGAAATCCAACAATGTTAGAAAAATACTATGTTATGTTGACCTGAACGTGAGCTTCCAGGTCAATATAAGGAATTATTTATTCTATATTGGACCAAAAATAGATAGGGAAATTCCAAATTGATGCAAGTACATATGTAGTTATGGAAAGTTTTTTCCACTTGCACCTGACTTCCACTCATATGAAAATAACATTAAGGCACATAGATTCTTGGGTGAGGGGTGGGGTGGGGGGTTGGAGAAGGCCTGCCCCTCCCCCACCTTTTGAGAATGTAAAGTTTTAATTTAAATTTTAAGGATAAAAAATTTCAATGAAAGAACTCCTCCCCTCGTTTATGGACCTTTACATCCCGCTAAATAAAATTTTGAGTTGGGAGAATTCTTTTCCTTTTTCCTTGGGGGAGGGGGGGGGGGGGCTAGTCAAAGATTTGTTTTCAGGTAAAATGTCATTTTTTTCCTTTTTAATGCCCCCTTTTTCAAAATCAATCTTATATATGTGCCTGACATTTATTTCTTCTATATTGAACCTAAACTAGAATTAAAAATTCCAAAATAATACAACTGTTTTTTTTTTAACCCCGTTTCTCTTATGTTCGGCTAGTACTTTAGTAGAAGTGAACAAGTAAGATGGCATGGATTGCATAATGAGCGTGTGTCATTTAATCATTGAATCATATAATGAAACAATTATTGCTTTTTTCGGTCAATGCGATGATTTAGCCACCTTCAAAGTACAATATTCACCTCGCCCTTTCGGGATCTAAATCATCGTATTGACCTTAAAACCCAGCAATAATTGTATATTATTCTGACTTTGGTAAATGTCTTTAAATAACTTTTCGACCAATATTTTTTGTGAATAATACTTAGCACAATTTTATTTTTCCATATTGCAATAATGTTTTTAAAATCACCTACCTCAACAGTATCATTTTAATCTTTCTTTTTTCTTCATAAAATCTTCATAGTCAACAATAGCTGGGTTATGCTTTGCATAATGTATCGATAGCTGTCATTTCCGACAACTATCGCCTTCTGTTTATTTTGCACGTATTATATGCTTTTTAGGATAATTAATGACCTCCTTTACAAAAGTTTTTGTCAAAAGAAATTATAAAACCGGGCTTGAGAGGGTCACCAGGAATAAAACTTACAGCATTCATTTCTTGATTGTATATTTTAGTATTTCAGAAATGCTAAAACCAGCAAATTCAAGAACCCAAGTTTATGATGACAAAAGCCTTGTGCAAAAAAATTGGAATAATTTTATTATATGTGAACACTTTACTATGGTCCATTATATTTTACAGTCTGAAAAATCCGTTTTTCGTTCCGCGTCGCTGGAAATTAAACAAAAGAACGAGGGCGCTTTTGATTGACATTCGACAGGAATCAGAGTGCACTTGAAAAGTGAAAACTTTATTGAATTGTCAAATAATTTTTTTTTGGTATTCTTTTGATGTATTATGTTCCCATGAAATAAGAAAGGAAACTTTTTTCCCTATAGTGTGTTTTGATTTCCTTAAAAATAACTTGAAACATGTCTAGATGAGTTATTTGGTGCAAAATGTTACATTTCTTAAACACGTTTTTCTAAAAATTTGCTTTCTCTGGGTCTTCTCTCCACGATTTGAAAAAAGACATTTGTGTGCATTTGTATTCAAACAAACATTTGTAAAAAATGGAGAGAAGACCCAGAGACTATAAAAAATGAACTTTTTCCATAAAAAATACCAATGTGTAAATGCGTTGCTTCTTTGTCATTGTATTTCTGTAGCGATGATAGCTCAGTAGTATGCGTTACCAGGCCAGAGCACATAGAAGTTGAGAAGTTTTTGGTTCGATCCTCGCACGGAACATTTTAATTTTTTTTATACAAACAATCAAGTCGTTTATCAGTTGAATTTTACTTTATATATAAAATTTTTTTTTAAAAAAAGATAAATTTTGGTTCAGTTGCACAGGGAGCGAAAGCAATTTTTCAAACCTACTGGAACTTCATTTCATATATCAAACCCTATTATCCTGTTAGGTGTTCATTATTTATAAGAAGTGTTACTGCGTTATTCGTAACTATTACTAAATTATTTCAAATTAGCAAGCTATTTCAATGTAAATCTAAACATTTTCCTATGTGTGTAACTTTGTAAGGTCTGTCCACTAATGGTCAGCTTACCAAATCGTGGACATTTAAACCATAAATGTTTCGTACAAGATTCCTGCAGATCGCACGCCAAGTACGCCCATCTTCTTTGCGACTCTTAAAGGACCAATGGACCGTCTTAAAACATGTTCATGTTGCTACTTAATGAAAAGTTTGATTCAGTAACTGTCGTATAGCAAATACTATATATACGACCAATATTTACAGCAAAAAAAAAAAAAAAAAAAAAATTTCCGAAATTTGAAGCTTAATAAGATACAGTAAATATATATTTTATTAAAAATCGTATCCACTGTTTCCGATTGCGAAATTCTGTTTTGAATCTGCTGTCATTGTTTGCCCCGTCTGTTGTACACGACAGCCAAAATATATTGATCCACCAAAATCAAGTACTTGCGGGCACGCTTATTAAACAACAAAGACTATCCACAGTTTGCAGTTATGTCGTTAAGAGCCTAAATTTATTATATACAACAAGAAATGTGACCGTGGAGTAGTAGTTTTAATTATATAAGCTCATCAGTTTGACCAAATTTTCTTGAACGACGATTGAAATTTAACTTTATTCTGCTCTTATTTTGTTTTAGTAAGAAATCATAATTTCATATTCTACAGGAAAATTGCATGATGTGATCTTGGCGAGGGTCCACTTTCACGAAACTCTGTCCTCAGAGAACTCTTACATTGAACCGTTTCACTTCAACATCATTTCACCACAATGTATAGATTAAGATTGATAAAGTTAATCTGTAATGCTTCATGATCACGGAGACAAGACTAGTTCATAAACAATAAAACTAAACTGAGAAAGAAAGGAAAAATATTGAATTATACACAGGAGTACAACAAAGTGAGTGTATGTATGGTGGAATATTAACATAAGAACCCCTCCCCCCCCCCCCCCCCAAGTAAATATATACTTTAGAAACAATGCTAATTTTCGGTCGTGCCCCCTCAATAATAACATGACCCTTTCTTTTGGTTGTAAACCTCCCCTCCCACCCCAACCCCCCTCACATGAAATTTCTTCCTCTGTGTGTTTCGTTTCTTCATTTTACCCTTTTACTTCATTTCCCTTCAATTGGCCAATAACTTGATTACAGTTAAGTCTCTAACATCCAATATTGTCAAAATTACGAAACGCTAAACTCGAAATAAGCCCCACTATATTTGTTTTTTTTCTCACAAGAGTAGCTCCCTCATGTCACCATGACCTCGCCCATCGGGTATCTGCACATGACCAACAATATAACAGTATAATGTCAAAAATGGATATATAAAGTACATGTACTAAAATAATGGCTATAAGCACCATTAGCGTTATTGTTTTAAGTTCAATATATCATGCTGTGTGTTTATGACAGAATGAGAATCACTGGAGATACTTGTACACTGTCAGTGTGTTGGTGCCTCGTTGTCCTACTAAGAGATTGTACTCATCATCCACACACACACTAAGGGGATATTCTACCCCTTGTTGTTTTGTCAGTAATATATACAAGAACTGACCGTCCTGATCAAGGAGGTGAACAAAGTCACTCTGAAATTCACACAGAAGGATGTGTCCGAGGACATCAGTACAGATTCCAAAGGGACGGAACTCATAAAAAAGATTTAACAGTGACGTAAGATTCTGACCTTTGTAGGAGAACCTGTGTTGTCCTGATTTATTCACCACCACTACTGCTCTTTTATTAATGTCTGATGTACAGATATCTCCATTGATGTTTTCTGTGATGTAGTGTGGTGTATCATACAGTCCCTGTCCTTTGTTATCCCTCTGTATGTTCTGTAGTTCTTTTCCTGTCTTGTTGTACCTGGTGACTTTACCCTTTCCATCCTTCTCCATCCCCACCAGTAAGTCCCCGTTGATGTGAGAGGAGTGTATGCTGAGTGATCTCCAGTCTCCAGTTTTAATGAATTCAGTGACATTCTTATCCTGTGTTATCCTATTGATGACATTCGTGTATTTGCCTGTAAAGATCAGATCCCCATCCTGTGTGACTGTATGGTAACCTCCAACTCCACCTCTGGTTTTTATCTTCTGTATCTTATTTCCCTGTATATCTGTTTGGACAAGATTACCCTCGTTGTCACTGAACAAAAAGATGTCTGATTGATAAACTGATATGTGGAATACATTCTTCACACCTGGTACATTGAACTCCCTGACCTTGGTGACAGAGGCAGATAGAGACAGTGTTTGTTTCTTGTCAGATTTCTTTCTGTCTTCTTTCATCTGTTTATGTCTAGGCTTCATTGCTGTATTGTAGACAGTTTGAATGGGCCTTATTTCTCTCTTCTCTGCTTTAGTGTTGGGGACATGTATTTTACCAAGTAATTTGGTGACATCACTTTTGCTGTATTGACCAGCAGTAAATCCTGGTGTGACTGGTTTTGTTGTCTCTGGTATGGATTGGATCTTTGGTTTCTTCTCAGACAATAATTTCTGGGGTTCTGTCGAGGACAGGCATAAGTGGAGCTCTTTGACAAGGTTATTAAGATAAGTGATGTAATCATCCATAGTCTTCTCTTGGATGTTTAGATCTTCTAAGAGTGATTGCTCTATCTTGTCTAACTGCTTCATGTTCTCAGAAACGGCTGTGTCCACCAGATGTTTCAGGATTTCACCTTCAGTCTTCATGGATGTTCTAATGTTGTCCATAATGTTTTTGATTTCTGAGGAATCTTTTTTAATTTCTTTCTGTAAATCTTGTGATGTGGGGAGAAAGTACTCATGGATCTTGGAAATTTCCTCTTGAAAGTCTGCATATTTTTCTGCATAAACAGTCTCCAGGTCGGTAAATATATGTCCTCGATGGTCTCCCTGTGTGGCACATTTGGAACATACTGGAACTTGGCATTCTTCACAGAGCATATCCATACCTTTAGTGGGGTGGATCTTGCATTTCTCCACAGGAAGTTGTCTTTGACGTTGCTGATAAAGGACCACCTCATGGTTTTTGTTTTCCGGACTTTTCAGATGTTCATCTCTGCATTGTTTGCACAATTTTTGATGACAAAGGTTGCAATAGAACTCACAGTTCCTGTCACATTCTTCGATGTCACATTCTAAAAAGTGTTGGGCTCTGCGGGGAATATCCATTTTAGATACGGCCATCTGGAAATTAAAGAAATGTATTTTTAAAAATTGAAAGTTTTCCAAACAGGCCTGTAGCAACATTTTCCACAAAAAAGGGGGGCTCTCAAAAAAAAATTCGGACTGGCATAATTTTGACAAATTTACTGCTAAAACTCTAATTATTTATTTTATGTAGCAACTCTATCATTATCTTCATTATATTTTATTATCCAAAGAGTTTACATGTAATTACTTGATATATTATGCTAAGGAAGAAAATATTGGTGATAGTGCACAATTTTTAGGGATTTCTACATTTTTTGTGAAATTCTCAGAGACCGTTTGCATGATAAATGGGTAATTGACCTATATATATTTGAAACTGAAAAATACCACCACAATCATAAGTCCACAATGTACAATAGGTTTTTTTTTTTATTCTCATCAGTGGAAATTTTGACATCTGAGTAAAGGACATCCAATTTCAGAAAAAGAGATCTGTAATTTACTTCCTGGTTTGTGATTATATAGATTTGAAAACCTGATAACACAAACAACACAAACCAGAGGCCCAAATTGCCTTAATTGCACCTGAGTATAATACAACAGTGTATAAAATCCATAGAAGTATAACATAAAAGAAAACTGCAAGATAAAGATACGTTGCCCCAAAGCAAGAGAAAAAGGATGATCAGGGATCAACAAAATAGTTAGTCTAGTACTCAGTAACTAAACACATAGTAGATCGTAGATCTATTTACATTTTTGTACTTGCAAGTGCTTATGCACTCCCATTTGTCACTATCACCATGCAGACTAAACAAAACTATAGTGCTTAAGCACTTCTAGATCCATTTCCTTTCACATCAGCCTGTTTGATGAGTATATTTATTGTAAAAGATAAGGTATTTTTGTCTCATTTGCAATTAACTATCATTTACAAGTCTACCTGACCATTAAAAATTACAAAATGTACTTTTTTTACTATACATTAAAAAATCTTGTAAAATTCTTTAATTTAATTGGCCTACAAGTTACATTATTTACAGTGATTAATTATCATAGATGAATAGCAAAGGGGAATAATGTCTCTCAGTTGAGTACAAATTTGACAAGATCAATAGAGCCCTGTCCAGCCTCAGAACACTTGACACAGTAATTCAGAATTTCACAAATCTGGTAAAAATACCATTGCTCATTAAAACTTTATACTATAATTGCCTCCTAGATGCCCAGGAGCAAAGAAGAGGATTTTCAATACATTTATTTAATGCAATTTCACTATATGAATAGAGTCCCACCATAGCACAAGAACCCCAGACCCAAAGACCATGAATTTCACAATTTTGAAAGAAGCACCCTTGCTCATCAGAACTATGCACTTAGATAATCTGCTTAATACCCACAAGTAGAATTAATGCATTTTTATACATGATCATTATCAACAGAGCCACGCTCTAACACCAGAGTCCCTGATCCAGGGGCCATAAAATTCAAAATTTTGGAAGAGGCAACCTTACTCATCATAACTATGCACTTAGTATATTTGCTTGGGCAGAAAAGATTTTCATATAATAAATGAACTTTCACTATAAAATCAATAAATCCCTGTCATAATACCAGAACTCTCGGCCCAGGGGTATTGAAATTCACAACTTTAGGAGATAAACCCTTGTTCATCATTACCATGCACTTAGTGTGTTTGCTTAATATCCAGGGGAAGAGGAAAAGAATTTAATAAATGCATTTTCAACATATAATCAATAGAGCCCCAACCTGAAACCAGAACATGAATTTCACAATTTTGGAAAGACTCCCTAACTCATCATAACTATTCATTTAATTTGTCCACTAATTACCGAGGAGCAAAGAAGAATATTTTCAAAGCATAAATGCATTTGCATTACATAATCAATAGAGCCTCACTCAATCAACAGAATCCCTGACCCAGGGGCCATGAAATTCCAAAAGAGCTAGGTTCACTTTATGCATAAAATGGCCATGTAGATATACCAATTTATTGACTAACACTTTATGTTCCATTTTAAACATCAAGATAAAGTAGAGACTTAGTGCTTTCATTTCCTATTAAAAATTTTCTTCTTAAAGCCAAGGTCTTGGAAAACAGGCTTCATGGAATTGCAATGTTCTTGAATTTTAAGGAAAAGAAGTATATTTGAGTACTTTCACAGAAGAGAAATAATACGAGTACACCCTCTGATCTAAAAAATAAAACATGTTTTGTAATCCTCAGAAATAGTTCTATCATTTAATAGTTGCATATTTTAGAACAAAGGTTGCGCTCTTTATCAAATATCGAAAAATAGCTTTAAAAATTGGCTGTTTTTGAAGAATTCTTCAGGATATGAAGAAAATGACGCATTTCATGATGTCATAATGCATTGACTAGCCAGAAAATTACGTCATTTTTGATTGATACGCAGTCACCAAAGGTCTAAATGAAATTTAATGCATTGTCAACTAAAACTAAGCAGTTTCAGTTTTTCAGAAATTCACAGGGCCAAAAAAGGCCCTAAGTGAACCTTGTTCTTTGAAAGAGGCACCCCTGCTGATCACAACCATGCACTTAGTTTGTTTGCTTAATATCCAGAGCAGAGAAGATTTTCAAAGCATTAATGCATTCTCACCACATAATCAATAGAGCCCCACCCTAGCATCAGAACTCCTGACCCTGGGGCCATAAATTTCACAATTTAGGTAAAGGACTCATTGCTTATTATAACCATGCCAACAATTTGACTGCTTGCTGTCTAGGAGGGTTGAGAACATTTTTGAAAATTGCATTAATTTTTTTGATTTTGGCCCCACCCCTCAGGCCCAAAATTGGTTGAATGGTTCAGCGGTTTAAGAGGAGAAGCTGAAAATGTTCAAAAGTTTATGACCGATGTACGATGAACAACGACGGACGAAAACAAACAGCAATATAGGTCACCTGAGTGCTTAAACGATTAAGTGGTTCCCCCTTCCCCCTCTGACCAAACATTCCTGGATTCCTTTATGTTTATTCATGCTGTCTCTGATATACAACACAATAAAACCCAAACTTGGAACATTCTAGCGACATGTAACACAGGTATGTCATAGGTGCTTGTGGACAGGACCCCCCCCCCCCCAAAAAAAAAAAAAATATATATACACCCCGGGTCCAAGGATATTTTTTTAATTTATCTTCTTTCATAAATTATTCTTCTATCATGCATTTACAATGTATTCCATGTGGATATTCCGAAAAAAAAAAGAACATAGAATAAACGTTTTATTTAAAAAAATTATTAAAGAGTTTATTATACTGCGGGTATATAATTAAAAAAAGAATTTTTTTTTAATTTTTAAAAAAATTTAAAAATTTTTTTATTTTTCTTTTATAAAACTTGAAATAAAAGACACCACAGAAATCTGCCACATCTGTTTTATATTTGGATGTTTTAATGACTATAGACAGTAAAGGACAACTAACAGCTCAGGGATAGACATCAACTTACAGATTCACTTGCCCTTTGGGCAAGTGAACTCAAACTTTGACTTGTCCGAATACAAAACTTGGTTGCCCAAAATTTAGAAAGAAGGGAAACCGATAACTTAATTTATTATTGTAAATAAAGTGAGATTTTTTTTTTTATATTTGGCAAGTTAAGTGCCAGAAAAATATCTTGATGTGCAGGTGATGCTACATTTTAAATACTTGTAAACTCACACTGCCATGCAGCAATATCTCCTTTTAAATAAAATTCATATTTTTGAAAATTATTTTCTTAATGATCTTTTTGTGAATTTAGATTTTTTTCCCCCTGAAAAACTGAAGCCACACTAAAGAAAAACATTGGCCATGTTTTGAAACATAAATATCCTAATTAGAATACATCGTGTGCCGAGAATAACTGGTTTTCTTTATGTTCTGTGAGTAAATAAATGAGCTATTTTTAAATATCATATTTCATAATAAGAATGTTAAGAAGTCAGTTTTGTCAACTACCCAGAAAGAAAAATGGAATAACGAACCCGATTTTTGAATAAACGGCGCTACCGAGGAATTTCCGACTACAAAAAGAATGTCATATATTCCTGGTAGAAATCAAATGTTCAAATTATTGTTTTGTTTATAAACTAATGTAAGATTTAAAAATTCTATCAAATATTCACTTGCCCGATCGGACAAGTACATCAGCAGTTTCACTTGCCCGTACTGAGAATTTACTTGCCCCGGGCAATCGGACAACCGTTAATGTCGATCCCTGCAGCTAAACTGTTTGACAAATATGATACATTCAGCTTTTCCATCGTCAACTTTCCTCATTAATGTAGTAATATTCCAATATCACCTGCATATGGTACATGTATCAATGTTATCCAACTTATTCGATACTCAAAGCATGCTCTGAGTACGATCAGTTTTTAAACAAAGGCAGGCTACTGACAGATAAGTTGATGTTACAGGGATTTTAACAACCTCCTTTAAAGTCAGCATTTCGTAAATTCTACAGTCGTTACAGACCTTGTTGGCAAATATATAAACTATCATTGGGTCGTATTTTTTCTGACATGTTTCAGACCAATTGTAAGGCCCCTTTTTATACTAAAGAGATATAGCATTTCGCCTTCTACCATGTTTAAATGGAAAATACCATACTGTACAGGCCCGTAGGAAGCAATTTCAGTTGAGGGGGGGGGGGGGAGGGGCACAACCATATTTTTTCAGTTGGGGGCACTATCAATTTCCCAAATTCCTTGACAAGCGAAAAAAAAAAGGTCATCAGACATATAGTAGCTATGCTTTCTATAGTAATCTATATATCGGCAAAATTATTGCCCCCCTCCCCATCCGGTTCCTATGGTCATGCTATAAATAGATTTACTTTGGGGCATTGGATATTGTATTGAATTTCGAAAAACCAACTTTATGAAAAAAATATGCAGAACTGCTTCTACATGTGTATTATAGAAAATATTTCCAGGTAAACTTATGCTCTGGTTCGGGCTATAATTCACGAGAAACATTTACTAAACTATAAACAAGATAT